ATTCGAGAAGACCTGAATTCTGCTTTCTTCCTTGACGCTGTTGCTCGAGAAGGGTACAACTCCATCCAGCCAGGAGCCCTCATTCTAGCCAAAGGAGATGAAGTGGTGGTTGTTGAAAACACGTTAGTTTTTCATTTCCCTATTTTCCCAGCGCTCTCAAACAATTGATTTCAAATTCCTCTTTTTCTTTCAGCGGTCAGGACTGGTTTGGACAAAACAAAAAGAATCAGCAGTTCGGAACATTTCCGAGATCGGTGGTGTTCGCACAAACAAACCACGCGGTCGCGGCGGCATCCGCTGTTACTCCACAAGTTGGTTTTTTTTACCCATTCCAAGTGTGTAGTGCTCAATGATTGTGTAAATTTTTTTTACAGAAGGTTCCGACAGCTCCAACGATCAGAATGAGACCAGAACCAGTGATTCAAGCGCCTCCACCTCTTCCATTCGCGTCTAAACCTCTGAATAATAACACAAAAACGTCATACAACGATCGGACGTCGAGAATTTCCATGCCGGTTGCTGGTGAGTAACTTTTATTATCCTTTTTTCAAAATAACCACCCTATCTCCCCTTGTCTCTTTTACCTCATGTCCTCCCCTCCAGGCTCCTTCATCCACACCGGTCACGGAGATCCACTCGGAGGTCAATCGTAGGGAAACCCATCGAATATCGACGATTTGTATCTGAAAAATCCTGTGAAAGGAGTCCCATTGTCAAGGTTTGTCCTTTGCCTCATATTTCCTCTTGTCACCTGACCCTCTGTGTTTTTAGTATGTCCAATGGCGCTCAAGTTATCGCTAGTAAGGAGTTGCTCACTAACGGAGGCAGAAGCACGCACACACCTGGTAGGAATTTATTATTGTTTGAAAAAAAAAACAAGTTGGCTGTTTTAGTCGTCTTCAGTTTGTACTAAAAACCAGATCAAAATAGCAGAAAAAAGTTGGCAAAGTTTAGATTCACTATTTACCTTTTAGTATTTATCATTCTCAAAAATGAAAAAAAAATTGAGAAAAAAAATCTTGCGTCTTTGTCGTTTTATGTTTGTTAACATTTACCCCATTGTCAGCTGCTCCAACCAATCCTGCCATGTCCAAGATTCGAACTCTATCGCTTGATCTACCGGAATACGATGATTTCGACCGTGCGTTTGATGATGGATTCTCCCCTTCGAAGATTGAAATGCCACGTGGCTTTGGTATGTTTTGTCCGACTCGTGTAGCCCAGAAATTAACACCTTGTTTTGATTTTCTCATTATTAATCGATATTTAGCTTCAGGAAACGACATCATCATCAGCAACGGGAACAGATCAGAGGAAACGATTTTGATCAAGGCACCAGA